GGAATGCCGGACGATGCAGCCCGAACTTTTTCAAAGGCAGACTTTTCGGAAGTTGCGGCCAGGGAAATTTCCTTATACAAGCACGGCATATTTATATTTATTTACTAGAGTTGTTACCAGCACTGCACATTTATTTATTAATTAAATATTATATATTGCAAGTGTTTAGATACAGTTACATTATACTGCTATTTCAGTATTAAAAGTGACGGCAGTCATATATTATTAACATTGACGCAGAATGGTACAGAAGTATGGTCTCAAGAACTAAAAACTAAGACATGAAACATCATTACTACCTGGTACTCAGATATAGCAAACACAGGAATATACAATCATTACGCGAGAAAAAATAAATCTCACCAGAGAAAGGAGTTATTACGAGAGTAAGCAAGGAGATATAACTAAGGAAATCTTATGAAATGTCAATGGTATCTCTAACAAACGAAATGAAGAGGATTTTTAAAAATTTGTTTCTTCAGTTGCTTTAATTTGTCTCCAGGAGACATAACTTATTAACTAATGTTAGTTTTCCTGGTGAGTTAGATAGGTATGAACTACTCCGTAAAGACAGAACATTACTTAATTGCCGCTGTACATAAAACTCAAATTAAACTACTGAAACAAAATGTAACACAAATGACACTTGCCTTGTATATGTAAGGGCGTGCAGATCATAGCAAATGGTGGGGATATCAGCGAAGCAGATCACATCACAAGATAGAAAGATGGACTATAAAGGGTATAGGGAAGATCACAGCATATGGTCAGAAAATTATAGTATAGTAGAAAGGTCATCTATGCATACAGATTAACCCTATATAAAAGTTGAATAGTCATCAACTAAGCAGCATGTGGGAAAAAAAGATGGTTTCTCATAACTCAGACCACTCATAAATTATTAGTAGTCTCAGCTCAGAATGACTCTTTAAAGAAACAATTTTAAGGAATTCAAAAGCAGGTGTAAAGTAGTGTGCCGCAATTTATATGTACAGCAACGAAGAAATAAAGTGATGAAGTTATCTATGCTTTACCCTTATATTCAAAAAATCAACACCATTGTTTATTTATCATGAACTTCAACAATATTTATCAAACAAGCTGATTAAATTAGTTAAATTGCTTGAAATCATGATTGCACAACCCTTCCTATTTTGCTGAATGGTTTAGCCCTTTAATACCACCACTGACCTTGGCCAGCAAACAGTTCTAGTAGATATATGTTATTAAATTTATTGAAAGTGTTAAATACTGAGTTTATGGAACAAAATATTAGAGAGTGCCACCTTCTATTGATAATAATTAACATAGTAAAAAATCAAAAAATATGCTGAAAAAGAACAAAACAAAAATTATTCCAAAACAATAACACATGCTAAAAAAACAAAGAAAAAAAAACAATTTCCTTTGCCTAGTAGTTATATTGATAATTACCTTAAAGTAAGAAATGATAGATTCTAGTATTAAAAGTTTTGGTAGATTGGTGATTTCATGGGTGCAGTATTGGAGACTCAGTAGGGAAATTCACTTACAAACCAAACAGCACAAGGACCACAAGTCCACATTCTGTAAAACGAGAACTACCCAGTCACTTAGACTAAATACCATCTACTGCAAAATTTGTATTAGAAACCGCGGCTTATATTAAAATGGCACAATGCAAAAGAGGGGATGCGGCTTCTAGTAGAGCATCCACACACATGTGAAATGATGAATTTTTTGTTCTCAATTATTCAAAAGGAATGGGTGTGTCTTGTATTAGGGATGCGGCTTCTAACGATATTATTTCAGGACTGACAAACCTAAAATTAACAAGATATTGTCAATGACAGTCCCCGTCCAGTTTTTAGTTACTATGTCAATTAAAAACAATGACAAATGTAGATTATTAAATATTGCAGGAGTGTTCAGCATGTTAATGTGTTACCCACTGAATACAGAACTTTCATGAACGAAATCTAAATATGAAAATAAAACATGGTCAACATTTTGAATTAAATTACAATGCAGAAACAGTGCATCAAAGCAATTTCCTTTGATATCCCTGTAAGTTCAAGTTCTAGTATGTCGTCTTCAAACCCATTTTTTTACAGTTTAAGTATGTTCAACGGACACATGAAAATAAAACCAATTTGACTACCACTCATTTTTTCACTTTGTTACAATGGTTCCTTCTGAATTAAAATTGAGCAATAACAATTGCAAAGTTATAGTGTATTATATTAAGGATCTCTATGATCATTATGGCATATCATTAATGTTTAAGGTTAGGTCTAACTCACTGGATTTACAAGGAAATAAACTGAAATGGGTAAATTACAGAGGGAATGGCATTTGTAAGTTGTGTCATGGTGGCACAGAAGATGTATATCATTTCCTATTTCTATGCAATGCAACATTCCACTTAAGAAATAAATTTTACTCTGATTTGATCAAAATAGTCTCAAATATCGATGACGGCCAAACACTAACGAATTGCCTTTCCTCAGGGGGGATGAATTTCAAGTTTAATTTGCTTTTTGGTGACATTCCATGGAATATAAATTATGAGTTGGGGGACATTGTTTTTAAAGAGGTACGAACATTTCTTAAACTTCTTTGTAAACACAGAAATGAAAGTAGTGTGAATTCACCATGAGATCTATTGTCAATTTTACTTTATTTTTATTCAGTTTCAGATATGTATGTTTTTTTCGTTTCTTCTTTTATTTTGTTGCCGTTCCGAAGGCTTAATAAATATTATTATTATTATTAGTGTAAAAACTAGGCATGTTAAATTTATATGTAGTTGTCACCAGTTAGTAATAATGTTGTGACACTTTGTTATGGAAATTGATTGTTGGTTTGCTGAATTGAATCACACACAAACAAAAAATTGGTGCTATGCATTTTAATTTAGTGCATCTATGTACTATGATTAAATAAATCTTCAAAAGTGTATTTGATAAAAGGGGCAAATAAGTAAAAAAAAAAAAAAATGCTAGTCGGCGAAATTTGTTCAAATCACAAAAAAAAAAGGATGTACACCTGTAACTCAATACATACGATCATCATACCAACTTAGATCAAAATCTTTCCAGTCATGTCTGAGAAACGGCTGCTGGCACTAATAGTGATTTAGCACTTTTTCATAAAATAAAACGCATCTGTATGACACACCTGTCTTAGTGCAAAGTTTGAGATCAGTCAATGATATGACTCAGGACAGATGGAACCCAAATCAATAGTCCTGTTTTCGAACAGTGTCCAAACGGAGACCAATTATCTAGTGAAACAGTCAAGGATGTGGGAGCCTACAGGTCTTACCATAATGCTTGTTCCCATGGTAACATATAGATGTCATAGAGACAGCCAATCAGTGACTACATACCGGTAATATGCAACGAATCACAAGGACATTCTCGAGTGTACTCAGAATGGCTGTATTCCAGATTAACAGTTCTTTTTTAACTACCATACTTAGTCCTAGTTGTACAAAATTATCAGTGTTCGTATACTTTCATGTTTATGTCAAATCCTCTACCAAACACATTAACATGAATTCACAATATTGGCCATGAATTGAATTGCATGTAGAAAAGGGAAATGCATTGCCGAGTCAGAATCTAGAGACGAGTTTCGGGTACAAGAAACCGATGCATTTTCTTTGATGTCAAGTTGCTTGTGATCTGTGTGAATTCACAGCTAAATGGTGCCAGTGATCTTGAAAAGCACGACTTGGGAATCTTTGTTATTCAAACCTCAACAACCTGTACGGTCAATGTGCAATTTGAGAAGTACTGCACATGAATAGTTACTAAAACAGATCATTGATCAAAGCTTTACTGGATTGCACTTTCACCAACATTCTAGTCTTCTACAAATTTCCTTATTACACAACTTTGTTCACAAGTTATGCCCATAACACGGGTAATGAAATGTTAAGACAATTGTTTTCCAACCCCTTTCAAAATCAAGCTTATACTGCTAGACTATCTGGCACATAGTTATCTGGGACGAAACCATGACAGCATGTTTAACAAGAGCCACTAAATTATAAATTGCATGTTTACGAACTAGAAGGTACATCAAACATTCAGATTTCTGCCTGCCCACGTTTCTTATTCTTAGTTTTATGGTTCATCGTCAACTTCATTGACGATACTGTTACAATGTAGCACTTTTAACCAATTTTGTTTTGCTGTTTAAACAAAAATTCAAATTAAGTGTCGTCAAAATACAAACAGGAATTGTGTCATCGACATTTTTCATGCGATTCAAGACAAAGCAATTTATGAACTTGCCACTTTCGTTGCTTAAAAACTGAAAGCACCGATCTATTTTCAAAGTTACTACAGCATTGCCCTAGAAAAATAGTCTAGGAATGATTAGCAGCATTAGCACACACTCAAACTAGACCTCAGAAGCACTTTTGTTTACAATGTTCTTTGAACTCCTGTTCCAAGTTACATAACAAATATTCAGTTGGTCATTACAAACCCTGAAAGTCTACATATTGCAATTCTTACAGGCTTAAAATCCCACTACAAGGCTTTTGAAGACTGAGCACAACTTAAGGTCAAGCTAATCAAAAATGTACAATAATGGATGGTTTTGGGTGTTAGATTTCAAGTTGTATTCAGCATTTATTTTGTGGCTTCTTGTGAGATGTATAAAACAAAAATGTATCGTGTGATTTATCCTTTACATAACTATTTAATGGAGTGTAGAGCAAGTTGTCCTGGGTACCTCCCCAAGTTCCACTGGTCACCCACTCCAGGTCTTGAATGCTATTATATTGACAATTAACCTGCTAAACTGTGTGCAGGGGATGAGGAATAGACATTCATCAATTGGAAAATTAGCACATTCAGATTAGCAACTTTGTAACTATCAACACAAACATTAGCAGGCATTCCAATAGTGGAGCATGGGTAACCAGTGGTATAAAAGTTGAGCAGCCAGGATAAACAAATGCATTCCACAATCAAACAAAAACATTTACACTAAAACTTGACAACTTATTTCAATAATTTTTTAGTTTATTTTTTTTTAATACATATCCTCCACATGGACAAACTTCCTAGATTATCCCAATCTGAAACAAAACAAACAAAATGATGTTAGTTGTAAATACGCATGAATTTATTATATTTAAAGTGGGCGAGTCGTCACCTGCGCATGCATCAGATTGGCTATAGCATGTCACTGTTTACAAACAAGTGTCTACCCATGAGCCTTTTCCTTTTTTAGTGTGTGTTATTGTTGCTTTGGACTCAATTCCTACGTGTGCGCAGGTGACGACCCTTGCGTTTTAATTACACATAATAGTCAGCATGCACAGCTAGTTGTTTAATTTGATCACCACTTAAAAAAAACACAAAAAACAGATTACTTTATAATATGCCAATAAAAAAAAAAACGTTTAGCAAACAAAGAATTACTGGTAATTTGTGGTTGTGGCTTATGCATGTTTACATTTAGTTTCATTTGCCATGCGACTTACCTTGTTAGCCACATCAAGGGCATCATAGTCAGGAGCAAGACGTACATAAGCTTTTTTTTGTCCATCAGGCCTAAAGGTAAATAAAGTGAAACGATAAATATTAGTCTTACTGCCAATGAAAGTAATAGCATGCAAGTATTTTGCACAAAATTCAAGCACACGCTATGCTACAACTGTGGAGCTCACTGCATAAAACGTGCAGCTCAAACCCACAGAGAAATAATTTACAATAAACAACAATTTCCTTGTTCAATTTTTTCAGAATAATTTGTCCGAGCTATCGTGGCCAAAGTAATTTGATGTAGTCAACTCTGAAACTAATTTACTGCTGGTGAGTATCATCTTTGATGACAGAGCTCCAGGCCATTTTGTGATTGGTAAGGGGTTAGCAGAGCTCCAGTTCCATTTTCTACTTGAGGATACATGTATCACTTCATACAGTAACATCTTTCATTTTGAAATTTGATAACATAAAATTGTGGAAAATCTGGAGTACTTTGCAGTCTAGCAAAGTGTATTGTGACTACCGCCACTTGCACAGACTGTTACTTCAGATAGCATGTTTGCTCATGGTAGCAGATGTCAGGAAAATGAGGTTGGATTGTGTTAACTGGTCATGTAATTGTGTTTTAGCAATTAAAATTCATGTACAATAAATAGAGACATTAATTTATTGGCTTGAAGCTTTCAGTTTGCAAATTTGTTAGTGCTTCTACATGTAAATTCAATACATTCTTACAGTAATTGTTAATCACATCTAATATTAAAGTGAAGTGCACAGTACAATTTTATTTTATTTACGCCTATCGCATCTCCTGGGACATAGGCCGTCAACCAGGTTCCTCCAGGCAGAGCGGTCCTGAGCCAGCGTCTCAAGTTCTTTCCATATGCGGCCCATCTTCTTAACATCTGCCTCCATGTCTCTGCGCCATGAGTTACGAGGCCTTTCCCTCTTCCTTTTTCCTTGGGGATTCCAAGTCAATGCCTGTCTAGTAATATTAGGCATTGGTTTCCGTAGGGTGTGGCCAATCCACCGCCATCGTCTCTGCAAGAGCTCTGCCTCAATGGGTTGCTGATGAGCAATCTCCCACAAGTCTTGGTTACTAATTACCTCAGGCCAGGAAATTCTGAGGATACGCCTAAGACAAGTATTGATGAAGGTCTGTATTTTCCTAATAATGGCAACAGTAGTTCTCCATGTTTCTGCACCATAAAGGAGGACCGGCTTGACAACTGTGTTGAAGATGCGCATTTTAATATTCCTTGGTAGTTTTGTAGATCGCCATTTGTTATTTAGCTGATGGAATGCACAGTACAATAATGGCCAGTAAATTTTGTAAGATTTCAAAACTTATGTCTGACCTACCTGATAAGTGTATTGACTTTCGCAACAGCAATATCATACAATTTCTTTACAGCATGTTTTATCTGTGGCTTGTTAGCTTTCAGGGCCACGATAAATACTAGCGTATTATTGTCTTCTATTTTTTTCATAGCGGACTCTGTAGTGAGTGGAAATTTAATGATGTTGTACTGATCTAACCTGTAAAAAAAAATTACATCTTATCAATACAATAGAGAATTAATGTCACAAAATTAACAAAACTGACAGGTTAACCTAAAGTATCTACACGTCAAGTATCAAAGCAATTTGGCTGGTTCATTTACAAGAAGTTTTTGAAGCAAAATATTTTTACCTAAAATGACAAAAATATTTGCTAACAAACGAGCTCTTGTGTTTGCATACCCAGTAGTTACTGTAATTGTTATTAAATTGTGCTCTAGCAATTTCATGTCCTGAATGGTTTCAATGAAAGTCTGTTTTATTACTTCACTAATAATTCAGGAAATAATCTAAAAAGTGTTGCTCGACGTTTTCATCCTCAAAGTTTTCAAGAAGCCAACAATAAATTTTTTGACAAAAAAATTACACAAATATTCTTTAATAATTCACAATAAAACTGGTACTTTTCAACAAGTAGAAAATGCAATTGTTGACAGACTGACAATCACTTACAAGGACAGTTTCACTGTTATCTTTGATAACAGCAGACCCAAAAATGCAATGATCAAATGTCAGGTAGAATAAAAGCAGTAGCTAATACAACGACAACATGTCTTATAACCTTATTACCTATTTCGCTTTGGAACACTGCGACGAGGATACTTGGGGTTCCTTTTTAATTTCAAGGTTCTTGGCCTCCTAAACTTAGCTGTTGTTCTAATCTTCTTCTTCTTCTGTGCATGAGTGCCCTTCAGTGTGGCTTTTCTAGCTTTCTGAGCATCTGATTTGGCTTTCAAGGCATCTGCTTTGGCTTTGGCTGCAGCAGCTTCAGCTCTTGCAGCAACTTTAGCAGCTGGTTCCTTTGTAGCAGGACCCTTCTTGCCGGCCTTAATTCGGGCTATGAAAATTAAACGTACACACTGTTGTCAATCATAAATACATGTCTCCATGTTCACCGGTTCACTACCGGAGTGAGCCCACTGATAGTCAGTATTAAAATTAACCCTTCACCAGTTGTCTAGTGGCAAATTTACAAAAATTGTGTCACTTTTGCCATCAATGCCCAAGATGAAATTCAAATGTCCCTTTTCCTTTCTGAAGAAATCATTTACAAGAATGTTGGATACAAAGCAACAAATTAAAGTAAGTAGTGTATTTCAGGTAACATTGAAAGCAAAACAAGTGACCTCACGGTTTAAATAACTCAGCTGTCTCTTTGTAGTGTCTTCCTCAAAACAAAGTTGATGTTATATATGATGAGCTTTTTGCTGTGGTTATTGTTATCGTAATGTTTTAGCCATATCACAACTATGGTGGTTAATATATCAGGGGTAGTTGTTCCCTAAAAATTGTTATCTTGTTGCAAGTACCAAAGTAATTGGAGCTGGTAATTGGAGTTGTTTGTACACGACTAGACAGTGGGTTCGTCGCCATTCAAAATCCGATTCAAACAAGCATTTATCATTACAGAAACGAAAACCGTTCCACTCAAACAGACCCCCTAACGTAGCGAAAATTTCTTTACCAGAACTCCATAATCCTAAAACAGACATCCCTATTCTACACTAATGCTCAATTGTAACCTCACAGCATGTATAGGATACATGTTAGATACAACATTTATCAAGAATTTATAAGACAAGTGTGCGAAACTTTTAGAACTATGTATAGTGAAGATTTCACAAGAAACAAACTGCAAACACATTATGTTTGAGTCAAATATGTTTCTAACCATGAACGTCATACAACACTTGGAAAGGTTTGACTGGGAAAATAAACAAGATTTACCACAACATTCAAAAAGCAAGGACACTACCTAAGAACGATGCAATATGAAGACTTATTTTTTTTTTACCGACTCCCTAATTTCCACGATTTTGTGATTATCTCGCAATTTGCGCGACTTCATTTTGTTCGAGATCTTCATCGCATCCCTGCCCCAACCTTCTAATATACACACAGATTCAACCAAATTTTGCATTTATAATCTACTTCTATTAATGTTAATAGAAGCGCTGCCACGTATCATAAAATCCGGCGACGTAATCAGCAGCGTTCGCTTGGATTTTATGAATACATGACTTCAGCAGACATCCGTATCGTTTGCAATGACACTCGATTTAATGTATATTTGTCATTTTCGAAAGAGTGTAACAAGTTTAACCACTCTTAAACTGGCTATGGAAACCTAGTTATGCGCCATGAGTAAGGAAAATGCCATACGGTGGGCAAATTCTACCAAAATATCAGTGCCGTATTTACCTTCCTTCCTCGTCTTAGGACCCATGTTGGTTGAAAAGGCAGAGCAGTGGACGGGTTTCAGCAACGAACATTCAGGGACTGGGGACGTTACATTATAAATAAAAGTGGGTGGGCAGTTATTACCACTAAACAACAATAGTATATACATATATTAATATTCAGAACACCTGTTTATAATAAATTATTGTGTTGTTTTGTCTAATTATTTTATCTCATATTGAATTCTAGTTTACTGAAGATATTCTGTTTTAGACTAATATACATCCCACTTCAGTATGAATGCCCACGTAAAGAATATAATGACGTTTTCCTAAATAAAAATGAAGTTTAAATATCTTTTCAATTCCTTAGGGTTCATTCTTTTCCTGAAATGCATTTGAGAAACAAAAATATTGTGTAACATCTAAGTGCAAAACAGTCACAAAATTGAAACGTTTGTGATTATTTAGAAAATAACTACGAACACACAAATTTCGTAAGTTTTACTTCCGGGGTCATGCCAATACTTGAGTCTGGCTTCGTTTCGTGAGTTTCTCCAGCTGTCAACCAACACCGGTTTCTTAAACCCAGTTTGAGCATTCAAGTTTTTGAATCTATTTTAATACTCTTATGGTTAACTTGAAGAGCTCATTGGCAATGAATGTCACTTGTGGCTGGTTAACTTTCTTAATTGCCAAGTGAAGAAGCGACAGTTTCAGTCTGTGCGTTTGATTAGTCAGTCCAAAGATTCCGGACTGTTGACGTAACTCCTGTATTATTTATTTTACCATATTGGACATTTTTTTAAACAAAAATGAGGCAACGTGACGAGAAAGCCACCCGTGATAGAACGATTACAAAATTTCCAGAGGTAAGTGTTATTGAATTGATATTCGCTCCAGTGCCATATTAACAATATCATCCCAAACATTTTCGAGTGGTGGAGTCAGCTGGGATTGAAATAATGCTCCGTAAATAACATGGCTGTTTTAGGGGTGATATTTTCATTGGGACTTGATGGCACCCCACAGTGAAAACGATCACATCCACATCTACAGTCTCAGATCTGTACGCAGAGCGAAGATTGGAAAGATGAACAAAACAACAACGATTATCGTAATGTGTTTGATTATTTTAAAGTTGTATTGTGGGCAGAATAAAGTTTGATTCCTTTGACATGTTGTAAAGGGAGCTATTGTTTGTAGCTCTCTGGTTGTAATATGTGTACTGTAATAAATGTAGCAGCTACGGTATTCATAAGATATCTGTATGTCTTGCTAATAGCTGAACATCACTGAGCAGTACTTTCCATGGATTTGATTGTGATTGAGTTTTCAGCATCTTAGGGTGTCATCAAGTCACCCATGTGATTCTCTGTTCAACAATCAAAGATGGACTACAACTATATTAAAAAATCAAATTCCATTAAAAATGTGAGCAAATTTGGAGGAACATCAAACATTACATACTTTCTGGGTTAGTTGTTGCTTAGGGCGCACCCGGCACAGAATTCAACATGAATGCATGACAGGATTTATTGTTTTACTGAAAACAGTAAATAACTTTAATCAGCATAAGTTGCGAATGCCATAACTTTCAGGTTTGATTAAAGTGCGGTAGTCGTCGTCGTCGTCGCATGTTCGACATTTGTGTTGATAAACATTGATTTTCCCACAATCCAATGCACTCTTCAAATGGAAATCACAAGTATGAGGTTTGACCTGGGCGCGACTTGCACTGATTACCCCCGGTGACTCCTTCGAAAACCTTCCAATCACATGAAAATTACCCAATTAAAGTTTGGAAATGTCTCAGTTCGTACTCGTTGATCTGCGCAACAGTCAAAGTCGCCATTTTTGTTTATATGAGACCCATATAGCGATGACTACCGCGCTTCAATCAAATTCGAATGGCTTTCAACTAAGCTTTGCCAACAATACAATTTTAACATATAACTAATATAGTGATTTAGTAGTCTTTTTTGTCTAAGATTTCTGTCAATTTTTACAAACTGAATACAAAAATTATTTGTGTATACAAAATATACAAGCTTGGGTGAAGTTGATAATACCAGTGGTTTTGACATTAAAGGTTCAGTTCAGATAAGCATCATATTATATCCTTCAGTTCTGTATCCCACTGTCTACATAGTGATAGTTAAAATTTCTTAAATATGTTCACATTATTATTGTGGTTGACATAATCAACACATTACAATCAACTCATTACAAGCCTTTTGTGTGTTCACAACCTTACCTAGTAAATATTCCACAAGTTTAATACATGTAGTTCTGCACCCCAGTGTTCTCTTGTCTTATTATTATAATTTGTACATACACGTATTAATACTAGTGTACATTCATTTTACAAAATGTTTATAAATATTTTAATACATATTTTGTATTGTGTATCATTTTAAATGAAAAATTCTGACTGGCTATATTAAAGAATGTCCCCTGGGTAACGTCAACATATTCTGCTTTAGAAGTGTGTATACAAATATTATTTCTTGTCATTAGCGATAAACATCATTGGTTTGGCTTCATAATATTAAAAGCTGCATTTATTTGTCAAATTGCTGGGAAATTTAAATACTCAATAGTGGACTGTGATATATGATACGTGTACCAATTATTCTCAAAATTAATATACATTGTCAGTCAATGATTGTATGATAAAACCACTACCACATGTGTGTGTGTGTATGTGTGGAAGTGTGGGATTTCACTTCCATTTCAACATTTGTGACACATAATTGTTGGCAAAGATTTCTCTTAGCCATTTTAGTCTATACCCTTTAATTAATAAGTCTAAGCTTCGAAACAGACATTATTGTATGGCTGGCTACAACAAGGGTACCGGTAATATCATTTATGCTGAGTTTTAATTTAATATTTGTTGTGACATTTGGTTGCTCATAGTTAGGTACACACATGTATGACACGTCACAATTATTGTGGGTGCACATTTTCTATTCTTCAGCATTCAACTAGAACCCATCTATATTACTGAAACTGAAGAACTTAGGTACCGGGTATAACAAAGTAGGAATAGATTTGTCAAAAATTATTCAGTGATTAAACCATCAAACGTAGTAATATTATTGCTGCTACTAATAAAGTTTAATAATTTTCTGTGTAATTTGAATATAAGAAGTAGCCTTAGTGCCAACAAGTTCATTGCTGTTGTCAACTGTTGTCAAGTGACAACCAAACAAAACAGACATACATCAACAATGAGTAAGACTACCGTATTAACAGTGCTGATACTGGTTGAAAAAATAGTTGAATTTTTCAAAGACACCTTTATTTTCAAGGATTATTCTTTTATATATTGGTATTATGACATTTAGTATTTACAATGGATTAATGTTTAACTGATTTCATGTTAGATGAAAGGGAAGGGTGTTATAATATGCTTTTTTTGAGTATAGACACAATGTCAATGAATAACCATACATAAATATTTAATGTTAATACATTTCTGATATTCCCATTATATTTGTACTCGTGGCATTTCCTATGTATGTATTATTGTGATATTAGAACACTGATAAGGACATGACAGTCTAGTCAATTAAGTGAATTATTTCCAGTACTGAAATTCTATACTTTAGCATAATTATTGTACATCATTTTCATTTTATGAAAGAGAAATAGTCATAAATTAAAAAAAGTCAGGGGAAAATTTCTAAATTTAACAGTGGTTAACATTCCACTGAGGTCACAAAGTCACAGTAGTTTTGGCAAAGATGTGCCTTAGTGAATGGTTTTAAACTATCAAAAAGTGAAAATATAATTATAAGTATTACAGTTTATTTTGCCTGTGAAAACGTCTTTGGAATATTGTTGTAAAAATGCTCCAAAATAACAGACTGATATAAAAAAAATGTTGTTAGAAGAAATAATTATATACTTATTATATAAGAGCTAGTAGTAGGTCAAATGATACTATATTTTGTGTCAAAATTTGTCTAGTATTTGGACATTTTTAATTTACTGTCAATCTATATTTAAACAAATCTGTCATGTAATATGCATAAATTACATGTATGCATAAAATGCTGAGTCATCATTTTTCATAGACCACATTGATTACACATATCATCATTAAAAAAATTTGTAATACTACTAGACATGAACAAGTACATTATGAGACACTATTTTATGTTTTCACCACATATCACCGACCAACATTTAAAATATCTTAAAACAGACAAAACATGATGTTTTCTCTCTGATGTATGATTGAACCGGGTATGATGTTGCCATATTTTCATTTCATTTTCTCCATTCTAACATGAAAATAATTAATTGAGTAACATTCTACCGTACAATAAGACAATGACTAGAATGAATTTTTTGTATGTTCAAGATAAATTTTTCCTTAGTATCATTGACTATGTTGGGTTCAAGCTACTGTAGATATTAGGGTAGAATATCTGGTGTTGGTGACCAAACATGAACATTTAGAACTTAAATTCTATTAAAATAGCATTCTAAGAAGATAACTTATTTGGTAGTCATGGTAACCACATATTATATCTCATTGTACCTACCCTTTGAGCGCTGAAGTCATTATGTTTGTCACCATTATCATAATTAAACCTTCAAATTAAAATTAGTTTCAAAAATTTTGATTAAGATCTGTAGGCAATGTAGAATTATGTATATTTCATTATATGGTTCAAAATTACAGTGAAATTCTAGAAAATTATAAATCTCAATTAAGGGCTATTTAATAAGAATACATAGACCTTTGTGTTGCATAGTGAACATTTATGGATGGTACCATGCATGTGTTGTTGGTTAAATCAAATCTGGCTTATTAGTATAGTAGTTATATTTTGTAAAATATTCAATCTTAGTGCTGGATCTGTGTATGCCCTACTGAATAGTATGTATGTGACAAGATCATTCCTGGCTTGTCGTTGAGAATACACATACCATACATATCAGACTGACATATCATGTTATATGACTCATTTTTACCAAACCTATAATCTATTGTACTTGTTTTCTTATGAATCATCATGTTTTTAACGATAGTCTAGTGCGACTGTATGTGTAGCTGGATGAATACAGATTGAATTACTTTACAAGTTATGACTGGGATTTAGCAAACCTTGTTTTAGTGATATTCCAATATGCTGATGCTTGATATATTGTGTAAGATTTTTTTTTTTACATGTAATGTGTCTCTGATTTGTGATTTATTGACAGATATATAGAATAGCATACCAACGTAGCTAATGTGACATTTCTTTTTTGTTAAATATGTTAATAAAAGTTTGAAAAATATATAACACTGAATGAACATCATATTTTAATGTATTTATAAAGAGTTACTTTTTTTGAATCGCTTTTCACTGTTCTTTCATTAACATTATAATGTATGTTTTTATTTCCAGGTTTATAACATTCAAGCCACACCATACAAAGAACAAAGTTTTCATACGTTAGTGAAGAATGCATGTGCTGCTAATAAAACAGGAACAGTAGGGTGAGTATATTTACGAGTCATTCCTGCTTTCATTCGTCTTTGTCTTTCCATATTACCGGTATAACACAACGATTGGCATACTCTGCATGTTTGATAATGGGTACCATTACATAATGAATGATTTAATTTCCCACAGTGCACTGTGTTGTCAAACTTAAAATAACAATTTTTTTAAGGATGATGTATATCTGAAACGAACAAAATAAACATACTTTTTGTCTGCCTAATACTGTCGTACTGATAACTTTCTCTCTCTAGTACACATCAAGGGCTTGTACTTCACAGAGGTATTGAAGGCAATCACCTTGATGCCAAACCAGTTATTAACCGTGGTACCCTTTGATGTTCTCTGATGCTAAATCAATTTTATCAATTTTGGCTTTAGAAATGGGTGCAAGTAAAGTTCAAATCCTGCACATATTTTTGTAAATCGAAATTTCATTCAAAATAGACACTATTATTTATTACAAGACCTTTTAAAGTTGTATTGAAAAATTTTGAATCCTCAACTTGGTTGAAATAAAATCTGAAAGATATAGCATTTAGAGTTACTTTGTATATGATAGAAAACAAAAATATTGTGCCTTTTACTGACAAACTTATTTATTGTTTCAACTACAATAAATCCCATCATGTATTGCTCTTCAAATTCTGCATCAGGTGTGTGCTAAACACAACTAGTTTGTTCAGATGCAGTGAGTAAAATAATTGCCATATAAATATGAAAAGTTCTGGTGTGCATTTCAGACTACTGTAAAATACTTTATTTTAGCTGGAATTAATTTTCGCTAAAAATAAACTTTGGGTGTATGGAATTTATTTTCGCTGATTTTTGACAAGTTGAATGTAAAATATAGGAAAAAAGGTATATTCGCTGGATTTCATTTTCACTGAATCATTCCATCAGTGAAAATAGCAAAAATAATTCTAAGTGAAAATAAAGTATTTTACAGTAATCTTATCTGAAAATACATCACATCTATTATTGATTTTGTAATATAGTTCTCCTTTGATGTTGTGCGATTTGGTGATTCAATGAAACTCTAAGATGCTAAAAACTCGAGCACAACTGAATCTACTAAACTGCTCAGTAATGTCCAGCTATTGTCAAGAAAATTTTGTTGCATTTATTACTGTACACTTATTCAAAGATTTCAAACTTGAATTATAAAACAAAAATAAAACAAGTAGTCAGCCTTGTGACTCATCATGCCTATTGACAATGTATTATGTCTTTCTAATTTTCTCGTCAGGTTGAAGATATCAAAATGTATTGTAATAGGTGACGTATCTGTAGGAAAGACATGTTTAGTTAACAGATTCTGCCATGAGGTTTTTAATAGGGATTATAAAGCTACTATTGGTGTAGATTTTGAAGTTGAGAGATTTGATATTCTCAATGTTCCATTCAATTTACAAATGTACGTATGTCTATATTTTTATTTATTTTTTCATAAGTTTAAGTGAATATACATGCAACACATAGTCCGCTAAATTACTGTAAAATGCTAAATTACTGACTTTTTGGATGTTTTGTGTGGAATTTATTTTCACTGATTTTTGACGAGTTGAATTTAAAATAGTAAGAAATGTATATTCGCTGGATTTTATTTTCACTGAATAATTCCTTCAGCAAGTGCAAATAAAGTCTTTTACAATAACTTACCAGTAATTTATATTATTCTATGAATTCATGCCACTATACATGCAGGTGCTGATACATACTGTGTCGTATTTACCATCCAATTGAAATATTAAACTGACTTCACAATTCTCTCTTTTGCTTTATTGAGTGAAAAAATACATACAAAGAAGTGTTCTATAATCTTTTACGTTACTAGCATACTGCCCTCTATTGTTTGGTTTGGCTTTTACTTTGAATTGGGCTATGCTACTCTGTTGCGTAACAGGCAGCAGGTGATTGAAATATCGAAGAAAGTGATTGAATTTTGTATTAACAATGAAAAAACATTTGCAAAGTATGATAATCCAGAATAAAACAAGGCTCCCCCTCAACCTCAAAATTCTAAATGGTTATGTTTGCCATGTCGTCTATTTTCAAATAAAAAATTATTGTATCAAATGCACATTTATGCAATTCTCTGGCTTCTCAGTAATTTAAAGAGACTGCTCACTGTAGTTTTCAGGCTTCTCAGTGTTCCAATTTTGATAATTACCAGTATTTTTTAATTTAACTGACAATTAGATTTGATTTAATAAATAATAATATCTTAATGGCAATTTGTTTTCTCAGATGGGACACTGCTGGTCAGGAGAGATTTAAATGTATAGCATCAGCTTATTACAGAGGTGCTCATGGTAAGGGAAAGTCTTTTTCTTCTAAAAAGTCAGTTTCAATATGCTTTATCTAACTCAGCTAATTCATCATAATAATTCAGTAGGTATTTTTGTGGACATAATTTGAATCTGTTTAAATTAAATGAATTGTACAAATACTGGTCTTGTAAACAAATAGTTATACCAAAGTGGAGTTCAGTAATCAGTTATTTGACCAAAACTGGGAATTATTACAGTTATTTATAATCATTTTCCAATTAATGTCCCAATACTTTTTGTGACCTCTGCCAGTGTGCACTGGTATGCTGTAGATTTCATTTTCTTTGCCTCAATAAAAACCTTTGTACTCTGCAAAGTATTCTATAATAGCAACTTTTATTTCCCTTTATTCAGTAATTATCGTAGTATTTGACCTCTCGGATTTGTCATCATTGGATCGGACGTCACAGTGGCTGGAGGATGCTACCATAGAAACCAATAATGAAGATGCATTAGTGTTTTTAGTTGGAACCAAAAAAGACTTGTGTGTAAGAGAAAATTTATCATTTTTTTAAGCAAAAATTTGAAGTTTTAAATTATGCAGATTCCTAGGCCATTGATTGTGAAACTGTTTACTGGATTTTTCTCCAAGATTCTTCTTTACTGTGGCAGCAAATTATGAAATAATAACAATAATAAACTTATCGCCAACTCATAATTTTAGCAATAATTTCACCAATTATGGGTTTGCGGGTCATCCATTATTGTTCAAATGATATTAATGTTATCATTGTATAGGACAACTGCACTGATATAGTGTTCATGACAGATTATCATTGCCTGAAAGTTTACAAGATACAGCATTTGAACTTAAGTGAAAATAACTGTGACTGGAGATAGAGACCTTAAAGTGAACTTTTCACTTCTATGTTTTTTGTCTCTTACAAAATCTAAAGATATTTCATATAATGCACTTCAATAGTTGTAAATATGCTGAATTTACTTGAACTATTTTAAATGTCTTTCCAGTCACAATCCAGGTTTGATGACATTGAAAATATAGCTATTGCCAAAGCGAATGAACTCAGCGCTGAGTACTGGTCTGTGTCCTCAAAAACAGGTAAATTGAGAAAGAGATTTGCATAGTGTATTTATATAGTTAAAGATCCACTGTTATTTCTCAATATACAAATTTGAGTACAAATGTTTTTAAAAACATAAAAAATATCTTACATGTGTTGTTTTAGTCCCTTATCAAGCATAATTGTTCCAATGTAATAATTGTGGTAATCTAACTGCAGGTGAGAATGTCCCTGAGTTTTTCAACCGATTAGCAGCAATGACGTTTAACAACGCTGTGTTGGCAGAAGTTGATGAGTCTAGGCAACCTATGATGTCGAAAATTGGAGGAGATGGAAAACTAATAAGTAAGTTGTCTGTCTGTTTTTATCTACCGGTAAGCACCTATATATACCGGTAGTTGTAGCTGTGTTTAGTGGCATATACTGTAGAATCATTGTGTATTTTTTTTTTTTTTTTTATTTGTATGTGGTGTAACTTTGCAGGTCATGTATTTCATGGTTTTACATCAAGCTTAACAAAATAATTAAATATTAAGAACAAATGACCATTTAACAATGTGTACGATAAAGTCTATTATCCAGCTGTGTTGGTTATTGTAATTTAGTGCAATACCTGATTTGTCGATAAAAGACCTTAAGATACAAATTAATAACTGGTTTAAGATGAATTTTTCTAACCAATGAAGTATTTTGTGTTTAAAATTTCAGAAGTTCCTAAACCAACTAATCTGACAGGCTCTATAGATCTGACAGACACTGGCTTCTACCAAAGAAAAAAGAGCACTAATTGTTGTTAGCTCAATTTATATATATATATATGGCTGTAGGACATAACAGCAGGTAAATCACTTAAAGCGGGGGAGTCGTCACCTGCGCATGCGTCAGACGGCCATAGCATGTCATTGTTTACAAACAAGCGTCTACCCATGAGCCTTTGCGTTTTTAGCGTGTGTTATCGTCGCTTGGAACTCAATTCCTGCGCATGCGCAGGTGACGACTTTAATTCAAGATTACGAATACTTTATTGATGGCTCTACTTACTGCATAAAATGCTTCGAACTGATGTGATAATTTGAGAGTGTAAATTAAAGAGTGTTATTGCCTGGATGTGTGCAACTGAAGAGCAAATTTATGAACCTGTAGGTGTAATCCTGCTTATGTTTTGTGTGAGTGATGTGTGACATCCACTTTGCATTTACAATTTGTCTTAATTCATATTTTGTAGACATGAATCAACCTGCCATATGTGAAGTGCCAATGCAGTCATCAATGTCGACCTGTGCACAGGCTTACTGGACACAATTCACTATCAATCTCAAAGTTACAAAACAGAACCAAATTTCAGCATTATATATGGTACTGTTATATTTATCAATATGTTCACTGTATTTATAATGGTAGGAGATTTACAACTCAATGTAGTTTTTATTAATACCTACTTTTATTAGATGATTGTTTCCATCTATATTTCTATCTTGGTATTATTCAATTTAATGCATTTTGGTATTTATAAAAAACAAACGTCTTGTCTACACAATATAATGATAGAAACAGTTAACTGCTGCATTTATAAATAAGTGCTCTATATGGCACATTTTTTTCACAGGATTCTGGGTATATTTGGTTATAATAGCCCATCTTCAACATTTATAAAACTATAATTGCTAAGAGATCAGTGGTGCCTAATTTTGGTTGGCAAATTTCAAATACTGTGAGTTATATATGCTAAATTTACTTGTAATGGAGGATCAGTGTGCCTTAATGGGTAATCTTGTTTATAAATTTACTTGTAATGGAGGATCAGTGTGCCTTAATGGGTAATCTTGTTTATAAATTTACTCAGTACAGTACCTTATTGATAACACCTGACAGAATGTATTGTGTGCTTTAAATTGAACATTGGTCTTTTTAAATTACAAAGTTCAAATGTGCTATAATTTTTAACTTTATTGAAAAATGTTTATTATTGATATTAGCAATTTTTTTGTATTCCCCTTTGCATATACTCTAGTATAAAAATCTGTTGATAAATTTTTATGAATGATATCAATTGATACTGCATGTTTTTTTTTGTATAATCCACATTACAACAATTCTGACTGCTGTTTTCTTTGAGTCTGTGTGCACATTTATTGTTACATTGTACTATAACGATGATGAAACAAAGATGCATTTGTGATCACCCTATTCCATCCTGTATATTATATACCATATTTTCTCCATTAGAAGTGCATCTCAAATAAAAGAATATATAACCAAAAACTGCATTCATTGTATACTGAATTACGTCAATATACATGTATAGGAAATCACATGCGCTAGTAATAAAACAAATGTTGTATAAGAGCAATTGCTAAAATTTGTACAACAATACAGTCACATCTCATAATTTGACTTGTTTATCTTTTAAATATTGTATTTGAAGTAATAAACAAATCACTAACTTTCCCTACTACGTAGTAACGGACAAATGTGACATTTTATTTTACACCTAATACATAACTGCAAAACAGTGTACATGTAGCAGTTTACTATATTATATATATGGTCTTGGACTGTTCTTTATTAGCACATGGACTTACCAAATATGGAGTGCATGTAGTTAGTATGCTGTACTGTATTAAATAAGTTAAATTATAACAACCGTCCATTAAGCGGTAGTACTAGACTGGCCTCAGTCAGGGCGATTTTTTCAAACATATGTGTAATTTTTAATTAATAAAAATATGTTCCCCACTCGCCGCGAATCTTTTGTGGTCACACTTATTTTCGTGACAATTACATTTTATTTTGTAAAACAAAGAAGTCCTGACTTTTGAATTTTCAAGTGGCCAGCCAGAATTGTTTACAGAATCCTTCATATAAAATGAGAGTAATTAATATAAACAGTTTTTTTGTATTATATATTCACAAAAAATGTGAGTTGTACTTTATGGTATATAGAGATTGACATGTCCTTTTAAAAGGGGCTCTCAAAATAATCAAAGTTCACGTTGTGGGGTGTCAACAGATTTTATGTGAAGGTGGGTAGTTCCAATTTTCCTGGACACATTTTCAATGGCTTGTGAAGATTTATAGATGTAAACTTTGATTTTATTCCTAAAAATGTTGTATTCAATTGAATAATACTTAGATGTTCCCTCTAATTAATTAAAAATGACAAGAACCAATTTAGGAAATAAATGGACAGGTCATTCTTAGATCATAAGAATTCAGATAAATGTCGCAAGAACTAATTTAGGAAATAAATGGATGGGTCAGAGGGGTGGACAGCTTTAAAATTAGTGTTTTATCCCCTACTAAATGCAAGAGACATATCTTGTTGTAAAACAGGTTTGCATAGGGTTATAGCCAGTGAAAATACAAATCACATACATCACACTTGATTATTGTCGAATCAGGTGTCTGTCTGTGCAAGCATTGTTGGAAATAGATGATGGCCCACCAAGGTGTACTCTTGCTTATTGGGCAACCACTAAAGAATCAGAAAAGATGGTCATGGCCTACAGTTTAACGTGTCAACACCAATTGATATTGAGTCTAGTTATGCTTATGTCGAAGAGATCTATATATATTTGTATTAAATCCAAAATAATTCATACAAAGGAATCAAAAAAAAACTTTTTCCAAAAGTGACAATGATTTGGGTAGATGTGATGCTGTGAAGCATAAAATGTAACCCTGTCGGTGATTACCACCTGCTCTATACAATGAGGTCAACGGAAAGGAGTGTAAGAAAGTAGTGTCATATGAGCTTAAAATCTTTCATTGTCAATCGTCCTGGTCATGACGATTGATCAGACCACCCAGATCTGCATTAAATTTTCCATGTCTGTTCTCTCACAAGAACAGATTTACTTTAAGGATCAAAGTGGTTCTGTTGCTCTAAAAAGTGTTTTTTAAGCCATGGTCAGGAAAGATACTCCCAATACAACCTTCACTACACACACCCTTCGGTTACTATGAATTTGTAGCTGTCCTGTTTGGTCTCTGCAAAGACAGAGCTCAATGCCAGATCCATATGCCACCACATTGTCTGGAGGTGCTTGGATGAATCAACAGGAAGGAAGCGTACATGGATGATGTCCTAATTTTTGCTTATATGACAATTAGAAACGCTGTTTAGGAGATTGAGAGATCTGAAACACAGATGCAACTACACTTTGAGTTGGAGGAACATTGTATAAAACAAGTAGTATAAATACGTGTGGAGACCAGGATTTAGGCATGATGAAAAGCGAGAATAACTATCCAACCCGTAATTAAGAATTCCTGCACTCAAGTGAGCCGTTACCGAAAAGTGACAGTGCTATTGTAACCAATCCACTATCATGTGTGAGCACCAGGGCAAAACTAGATGACACATAACACAGTGAGCAGTTCTAGAACTCAGTATTTGTTACAGACTTTGAAAGTTCAACACAGATGCACAACATTTTTCTCAATGACCACATGCAGAATACTGTAAAGGGGTTAATTATTCACTGGGTTTTAATTTAGCTTATTTCGCTGAGTGGAAAATGCGCTAAATTAAGACCCAGTGAATATGTAAAATTGAGCATAGGACACATTATCTAAATAACAAAACCGTGAATTTAAAACCCACTGAATATGCCTGAAATGGTAATTCAGTGAAATTTAAACCCAGTGAAAATTAGTCATTTTACAGTACTGCATACCTGACAAAACTGAGCAAGAAGAATGGGTGAAAGCAATACCCCAACAGCTTTATGAGCCACCTATGATTTCAGATGAGACTGCATTACCAACAAAAACAGTGAGAGAGTGGGTATGCCTACAAGAAGATAACTACATTCAGCAACTCTGGTCTTACAAGAACTTTGGAAGAGTATGGAATTGCCCTAAATCCCTAACCTGGGAACGAATTCTACGGGTAGCGTCAATTGTTCAATTTCTAATATGCAAAGATTACAACCCAAAACTAACTTGGTCTGTGCATTGTCCTGGGCATGTATTTCATTGAAATAAGATAAGTACAGTACTCATTTCGCCCAACCTCCCGCCCGCTTCCGGATTTCGATCGCTTTTTTTTAGCTCGCTTTGTTCAATCATGGAGCTCCATGGTTCAATTCGACCGCGCAATTTCCGCTTTTTTTTCGACCGCGCAAATCCGGAAGTATCCGCTCGCGCAATCGCTCGCTCGCTCGCTCGCCTGACAGCGCAACCGCCGGCATTTACA